CCCCCCCCCCCCCCAGGGTAGCACCCTGCAAATTGTAATATATTCACAGCCGAACAACGCAGTTTCCTTTTAGATTGGAACATGAAGCATGACCTTTGAGTTAGGAATGTGATTTTTTGCATTTTAGCCAGAAAACATGAAAGAACAAAAATCTGTTTAATCTCAGATCGCGCATCTCAGATTGACGACGTTTTTTCTAAAATAGATGTGAATGTTTCTAAATGACCTTCCAAGGTCATGCAGTGCATTAATTGTATCAAGGAGTTTTCTACTTACAGGAAACTGAGCAAAAGCTGCAGGTAGGAAGTCTAGAGATCTACGAAAGAAACGGCATTAGGAAAGAAATTTTCGAACATTTTCAAAGTTTCTCAATCAAAAACAAATATGGACTGACCTCATTTCATATTTTTCATCAATGCAGAACAGTTGAATACAAAAAGCACTTTCAATTCCTTGATACACTGATGTCTGGAACACAGCAAAAAATTTTAAAAAATAATTCAAAATTAATTCATTTTGTCATTCATTTTCCCACTCCCATTTCCATTCACTTTATTCATTTATTCAGACTTTTCTCACCTTTCTGGCAGAATCGCTGTCACTCTCTGAATCATAACTGGAAAAGAATCAATTTTGAATTATGCATTAGGGTTAATCCATGCAGCAATATTTCCTGTATATTACTTGATGGTTTACAGTAAATATGTAAAAAACAATTCTCTCTTTAGTCATTACCCTTGTCTCATGTGTTCATCACTTAGTTTAGGAACAAATGATTGAGATTCTGTGAAAGATAATAAAAAATATATTGTAATAATATCCGATGAAAAAAGAGAAAGAATTTACGTAATGAATGAATGAACCAACCAATGAACAAACCAATGAACAAACCAATGAACAAACCAATGAACAAGAAAAGATAAACAAACAATCAGACAAATGGGTGGGTGGGTTGGTGGGTGGATGGGTGGGTGGATGGATGAATGGATGGGTGGGTGGATGGATGAATGGATGGGTAGGTGGGTAGGTGGGTGGGTGGATGGAAAGATGATTGTAATGTGCATACTGTTATACCTTCTTCCTCAAGAATCTCATCGTCTTTGGTTTCCTTTGATCTGAAGTCGAAACAAAATGCATTAGAAACTGCTTTAAGTATATAAAGCAAGCAGCTTTGTTTGAATTTTCCTACTTTTTTAAAAGCCTTATATGTAAACAACTAAATAATATTTCTTGTACTTACGACTTCCCACTATCTGTTGATGATTTTCTTTCTTCTTTTTGTTCAGGAATATCTAAACCAATGCATAAACAAACAAGAGAATTAATATCGTCTTATAAGTCCTTTTGCTTGAAAAATCTTTTAATTTGCTGCTCATAAAAACATAATAAATGGCATCTGCAAATTGGCATACAACCCTGGAGCTTAAATCCATAGCTTCAAAAGGATTTGGTAAGTGACACCCCAGGCTAACGTTTATTTTCTTATCAGCTGTAAGCCATTTTATATACATACATAAATATATTGATTGGATGTAACTTAACTGGCTACTTTGTTTTTATATCAGAGGACTGAGACAGCCTTGTGCAAAGTCATTCACAAATATTTTATAAAAGTGATAATGGCTGCTAATGTCTTGTAATGTGATATAAACACTCTCTAAGAGGTTAAGGGCTCTTGCAAAGCAAGAAGCTGTAGAGCACTCACAAAACAAGAGAAACACTTGACCATACCTCATGTTTCTAAGCTTGCTTCTGTCATGCTCTACAGCTCTCAGCATGTTTATATGACAGTACTGAGACATTCACACACGTTTTACATGACTTTGTTTAATCCTTAAATATTCATGCGCATAATATCATGCATATGCATAGAGTATGCATGCTTGAGCTCATTAATGCATTTATATGCATAATTTTTCGCAGGCCTCCAGCATACAGCTTTGCAAAAGACCACCACTTCACTTTACCTTTCACAACTTTTTCTTCCTTCACCATTTCTTCATTCATTGATCCAGTATCATCTCCATCCACTAACTTCTTTAGACCATTAAATGGTCCAAGGTCAAAACATCTGTTTAATATCTGACAATCAACTTGAGAACAAACACTCATGAATCCAACAGCTGTACCATCCACCTATAATATATATATATACAACAGATAGATCATTAGCTAAGGCATCCACGCATGAACAACAGTATGTGCTTTTGTTGTAAACTGGCATATTTTAAAGAAAATCTGGATCTGTCTTAACAAATAAGGTGTGTAAAAGTTATGTATGCAAATGCAAGAAATGTACTTTATGTATTGCAATGTGCGTACATGTAAGTTACCCATATAAGATAAAAGACAAAAAAGTGATAGAGCTTACATAGTCTCATCTGTTCCTCCCTCTTCATGTTTTCTGACATTACGTCAAGCAAGACTTTTGAAGCTATAATCTTTTTTAATTGTACCTTATTATTGCTATAAACAGGGATAAGCATAAATGTGGCCATGGGGCTGAACAATGTAAGTTAATGATGGAGGAAGGAGAACTCAATTGACACTCACATCAGCAACTAGACATCTGTTATCTTCATCCTGTGCCTCAATCATCTCAGCTAAGAAAAAGTTACCATACATTGAGGTCAACACATCGTTCTGTCTGTTGAATGTTGGCATCAAGTCATCGTGGTCTTCCACTCTTTAAGAAATAAATAAATAAATAAAGAATTAATCAATTAATAAAAGAGCCAATGAATCAATATCTGAACATGTACATGTACACACAAAAAGGAAAGAAATACTTTAAGTGACTTTCCACTGAAAGAGGACTTATGTGTGTACTTATGCCGACTTAAGCTAACTAGTAACATAACCCTACTATCATAGACGGCATAGCAAAAGCTCAATAATTCATAGCCATATGTAATCTAAAACATACATTAAGCTTTAGCTGTTGTATTATAGCATGGGACAGTCCCTGGGGGGTTCTCTATATTTACTATAAGGGTAGGTGCCACCAAACAGGGTATATGGTTTTCAACGATTCTACTCTGGAACAGGGCATATAAAATCGCGCTCGCTCTGGAACAGGGTATATGAAATCACGCTCTCTCCTCTCTGGAACTGGGTATCTATTTTTGCAATACCGGAACAGAGTATGGTTTTCAGCGATTTTACTCTGGAATGGGGTCATGGTTCAGGGGGCTCAGCGGCACATCCCTACCCTAAATGGGCAAGAGTTCCTGTTCCTGGGGACAGTCACAACAGAGCTAGGCTCCAACTGTAGGTGAAAGCCCAAAGATTGAATTGGATTTTAGAAATTGATTTTTGAGGAGGGAGGAAAAATGGAGGACCAGGAGAAAAACCCTCAAAGCGCAAGAGAGAACCAACAAACAACTCTACTCACACTATGACACAGAGACTGGCAGGAATCAAACCTTGCAACGCATTAGCAGTGCACATCACCCGTGCTTCCAATAATGAGCAAGTCAATAGATAAACATCATTCTTTACCTGGCATGTCGAATGTGTAGTTTAGGGCAGTGTTCATGGCGGTGGCATATCTTAACCTCAAAATTCAAGTTGCCTTTGAAATCTGGATTGTATCTCATTGAGTTAAAGATTTCAAACAATCCTGGCCCTGAAAAACAAATTGATCTAAAATGAAATTCTGAATGAAATACAATTATAAAAATAAGCGCTCAATAAGCGCATGTGTCTACTGCTTGGTCAGTGGCAGATCCAGGGGAAGGGTGCAAGGGGTGCACACCCCTCCCTGGTTCAACTTTGTGCCCCTATACAAAATAATGCTTTTTCTCTTTGATTCTAAGGGGTGCACCCCTCCCTGGGTTAACTTTGTGCACAGCACCCCTCCCCTAAACAAATTCATGGATCCACCCCTGTGGTAAGCAGCTAAAATAACTGTGAAAATTATAGCAACTGAAAATCTTTTGTATTGACTTAGGGTTCAAATATCAGTAGTGTAGAAATGTTATATTCCAGTTATTTCAGCTGAAAAAAAAACAAATCATGAAAATGAGCATGATGTGCCCCATTATGTGACGCATCCCATGACACAAATCTGAACCCGCAACTAGATTACATGGCTCATCGCAAGGCAAAACACCTCTTATTTTATGCCATTTTAAACGTTTTTCCCCACTATATTGTTGAGAAGTGCTATATGAAACAATACTAAATAATATAAGGAAGCCAATTGATGTTTTCAATACATTTTGATGCAGACTTTTAAGTGATATCATAAATGTTTTGATTCATGAGGTTGACTGTGAACCAGGATTGTGTTGTCTTGAAAGGAGAATGTTAGTGAAGTAAATATTTTACTGCAGACATCAATTACATCATCATATTTTGTGGCAAAATTGTTATATAAAATCATGTTAATTGTCATACGTTGTATGTTGTATGTTCCAGAAATGTACAGAAAACTTTCTACCTAACATTCTAGCGCTATTGCATGCGCTACTGTATAGCATCCTTAAAACTTGCATGTGCAAACATTTTCACTGATGAAGGTCTTTGTTTAGACAGAATCTGTTGTAAATTTAATTTATTTAATTTATAATGAATCATGAATCCTCACTGCAATTTCGGAATGTTATATGTGTTAATACACTGTTTTGAACTAGGTACAGGGTTCATGAATGATCTTTAATGTGTGTCTAAATTGTGTATAAATTATGAATGGTCTAGTTCAATAGTTTAAGGAGGTTCAACAGGAAACACCAGTCACAAAACTTAGAAGTTTTGTCTCTGATGTTTCTCTTGAACCTTCTCAATCGATACAAAGAAGATTCTCAATATAATTTTTCCTTTCAAAGTTCAAATATTACAGGACTTGAATATTATGCATATTGTAAAAATTAGAGGCAAAGGAGTCATCCAAGCAGTGGAGCAGAAAAGACCTGATGGGGTCGACCATTAAACATCAAGTATATACTAGCAAACTTGATGATGTTATTTCAAATTTGCACTTTCAGAACAAGCTCTAACAAACCCCTTTGTTCCCTAGGATGCATGAATCATCGCTGTGGGTTGTTGTCTATGTGACGTCATTAGAAGTTTTACATCACTTACTATACAGTACTTACTTAGAGTACACTGGCATATACTTGACTTCGGTCATATTTTATGCCATTTGCCAAATAAACTTGATAGCATAGTGTCTACATATAGTGCTGAATATACCGTATAGTACTCCTACTAACCACAATCAGCTCCTCTTGGCATAACAAGAAATAGATAATGCAGAAATGGGACAGCATTGAAAACTGTTCTTATGATTTCTGATGCACATCCTAATGCAAAGTCTGGTTTAGCAACAAAGAAGTTCAGGAATAGACTGTTAAGTGCCTATAAGGAGGATAAAGGAAAGTTAAATACATACCAATATATTTTATGACAAACAATACCATTCTGAACCTTAAACTCTTTAAGAAACAACTCTACACTTGTCCTATTCCACTATGGCATCATATGAAAACAATCTTTTGTTTTAATAACAATAAAATAGGCAACAAAATTGTGCAACTTGTTGAGCAACATTGTTGCATTGCAAAAGGCAGAGCAAATGTTCAGCAACTTACAATGCTACAATGTTGCACAACAAGTTGTGCAATCTTATTGCCTGGGGAAAGTAACCATTAAGCGAACAAATACTTAATATTAAATTGTACAGACTGTAGGATAAACACTGGTTTATCAAAATGTTTGAAAAACAAACATATCAGAGCTATCAATACACCATTTTCATGGTGAAATGCAAGTATCATTCTTTTCTAAGCATCACTATAATATCTAACACACTTACATTGGCCTTTGTACAGTCATATTTTTCTTTCAGCCACTCCTCCCATTTTGCCTGGTTTATAGAAGGTATGTTGGGATAATCAAAGAATGCTGCAAATGCTATCACATCATTTTTTGCATTGACCAGAGTGACTGCCAAGTTAGCTTTCTCTCTATGAACAAAAAGAAAGATCTCCTTACTGTAGTTATTAACTAAGTTAAATCCTATTCAGGTCCCCTATCCATGTGGAGAATGAGTGGTTTTCCTGTGGATGCCCTGTATAAGGAGTACTGGGTAATAAGAGGCAAAATCCATGTAAGATTCTTCCTCTTATCATCTCCTCCGCCCCTCCCCCCATGGCTGGTGAGGTAAGACAGTGAAAAACAATCTGTGAATAGGGGCCTTATGCATTAATTCAAGCATCAAGGAAGGTGATGTCAGGATATAAATTAAGCATGTTTCTGAAATAGATTTCCTTGTGTGCACTGTCATTGACATTGAAAACAGTGATGCTGAACCTAAGACGGCATGCACATGAAAAGCCCATTTTCCCAGTGTTGCTGTTCTCGATGCATGTCAATGTGTAAGGTTTCTAATTTCAGGTGTGCACACCCCGAAAGGAGGGTGGAGTGGCCCTATTAGGGGTGTGGGAGGARGTACTCATGTCCTCCGTCTGAATTCCACAACTGCCTATGTTTTAATGAGACCACCCAAGCGAATTTGCTTCATTGTCTAGAGGTTAGGTTTAGGGTTAGCGTTGGGGTTGGCATTGTAGTAGTTCTTTGGCGCTGAAGGTGCTGAGTTCGATTCTTGGTGTCCTCACTTTTTTCTTTTTCTAAGTGAAGAGAACCAAAATTTCTAAGTCCCACTCGTGTGTTCGGAAACCTTAATGACGTACTTCGTTTACCCGTACACGACGATAGTACCGTCTTGTTGATTGTCGGGATTTGTTCAGCATACACACATGCACAGTGCGGTATAATTGTACAATAATTATGATGTGCTAAACGTGAAAATGCCTAACATACATTATATTTACAACATTAACTCGACCGAATAGCTTCTCAGTTCCTCCACTGACGAGCTTCAGTATCTCAGGAGCATCCAATGATTCCGTTCTTCTGGCTTGAATCACCTCTGCGCCACTCATTCTGTTAGATTATCTACAAACACAATCACCAAGCAAATGTTTAATCCCTAATATTTCCTTCCTTACCTCCAAAAATAGAAGAAAAAAATGTTTTAAACAAGAAATTCTAAAATTTTCGAGGTTGTATATTTTCTGACAGTTTGTTACAAAAAGCATATTTGTGGTAATTTTTAGTAGTTTTTGGAGGTAATATTGGTGAACTCTATTATTTTGTAGAACAGTAATATACTGAAGTTTTTATAATCGTACCTATGATTGATGAAAGTTCTTTTGAATCCAGTATTTCGGTGTTTTCTTTCTCTTCTCGTATTTTCTTTATTTTGCTTTGGGCGCCATCTTGTTGCTGGGATACAATTACCCATGATTCCACTCATACACAGGAAGCCCAACATAATGCAGAAAAATGTCATGTGACCCAGAGGTAGCTCAAGCTTGGTTTCTGTGGTGTCCTATTATGAGGAAATGTATGGAGATTCATCAAAAATTTCAATAAAATCATTGAAACGTGAAATAAAGCCTCGAAATTTTACCCGATCATTGAGAAATA